AATGACCAAGTTAAAGATCGAGTCAATGACCAAGTCAATGACCAAGTCAACGACCAAGTTAAAGATCGAGTCAATGACCAAGTCAATGACCAAGTCAACGACCAAGTCAACAATCAATTCAGATCCCTGAGAACAACCATTAAAACTCCTTGTTTGTTTTCACTCCTTCCATATTCCATCACCAACCCCCAAATCCCATCATTTTTATCCTCAAAACAAATTTCAAACCCATTTCCTTCTTCCTTCCACCACCATCACATTGTTATGCCATGACCACCTGTCACTGAGCTGTCTGTAACAACACGTGTTCTAGTTGTTTCTCTGCTTTCCATCTTGCCTGCTAGATTAATTTACCTAAGAGCAACTGCACGGATTCCAACCCTCCTCCAAATGCATAGCTCATTGCTTGCTAATTCCTTTGGGGTCATTTTGGCATGTGAAACCAAATCCAGATTCTTCTTGGTAGCTTCCGAAGTTTTTCACATTCTGACCCTTTCTGACCTCTCCATCTTTATTGGGAACCACTCTCCCCCTCACACACCATTTGACCTTCCAATATGTGGCTCACACAACCTCCTTCCCACTTAACGGGTCTCACATATGCTGTTCCTACTGTCTGGAAGGCTGTTCTCCCTGTACCCCAGCCAGCTGAGAGTTTCTTATTCTTCAAGGTGCAAAAATCCAAAGAAACTTTGATTGGTAGTGTAGTGTAAATATTTTTCATAGAACTCATCTCTACATGTAAGAATACCTCTGTTTATTGTCTTATATACCTAGATGTTGCTATTGGGTAGGTCCATTAGTTTCCCAAACACCCAGTCACTTACCTGGTATATGGCAGTTCACTCAATAAATGTTTATTGAATGAATAAATGGATGACTGCAACAGATGTTCAGTAACAGATATCTACCATTTTCTAATTCCTAGACCCATACAGTCTTAAACAAAGATCCATCAACATCGGAGTCTTGGCCACAGTTGCCTTTATTCTTCTTTTCCTTCTCCTTTTATTTTGTTGCTTTTGGCATCAGGCCAAACAAGTATGTATTGGGGATGGAAGGGTTAACCTGGGAGGCTAAGTGGGAGGTGGGCTTGGTGGGTTCCTTCCAGGAATCTGATTGCTGGTTCTCTATAGGCGCCGCTAATGGTGAGACCAAGACCAAGTGAAGTATAAGAGGTAGGAAAAGGTGTGCTCCTCCAATACCAAACCCTGCTTCTGTCTTATTTCTCGGACTTACCCTAATGCTCTTGTGTCCCTTCCCTCAGCTCCAGCTCATCCCTGAATGTCCAGGAAGAAAACCAATGAAAAGAGATGAAGCTCTGTGGGTTGGGGACTGGGATGTCAGGGGAAGCCAGGAAGCATTCACCTTGCTGTTGGTCACTGCGTTCCTGGACTTCAGTCTCCCATCCCTGAAATATGGTGGGGAGCACCAAATGTGTCTGAAGGACCTCAAAGAAGACTCCATCCCTTCCCTTTCCTTGCGGGACATCCAAGCCAAGGAGAGTGAACAGATGGCCACTTCCTCCCTATTCCGTCCCCATTCCCATTGCCTCACCGAGTGCCCACTCTCTCTCTGTGTCTCCATCCTGCTACACAGCAGAAGACCATGCATGCCTTATGGGGAATGTGAATCCACTGTCTTCCTGCACCCTCAGGGATACCTCTAAAGAGCACTGTGGCTAAGCCACCCTCATCTTGCCCTGAGCCCCGATCTGGGACTGGCTAAGAGGATGCCAAGCCTCAGTCACCCTGTAAGGAAAGGGAAGCTCCATGGGGCATGCGGTTCATATTTCCTCAACCAGCTATTTTGGGAAAGTTCCCCAAAGACCAAAGTACCGAGAAGCTGTGTCAATCATCTAGAAATTCTGGAATCCATCAAATACTGTTCTCTACCTATTTACCTGTTTCAGCTTGTTTACAGAACTCTTTTCTTGGACCTTTGCTGGTGCTAACCAGGGCAGTTAGACCCAGTTCCTAGTGTCAGGGAGCTCAATGTCTACTGAGTGGGGACAGCCATGTGATCCGGTCCCTGCAGAGCAGTGCAGTAGTGACCTGCAGGTGTACGGTGATGCTTTGGGCTCATTTAGCAGGGACAACCTGCCCATGGAATTCAGAGTTTTTGGAGCCATGGAGGCTGGATGAACCACTGAAACTATTGCCCTGAGAAAACCTTAAACCCAAAATAGTTCCTATTGTTACATGCAACCTTATAGAGGGCTTCCGAAGAGTAGCTGTTGGGTTTGAACTGCCGACCTTGTGGTTAACAGTCCAGTGCGTATCTTACAGGGCTACACCAGGACTCCAGTTTTATTGACACCAATCATTAAGTTTATCTTCCTAGTAAGGAATGTACATCTTGAGCATTGAGCTCTTTTAAGGACTATCTTCCACATGCCTGGAGTCTTGGGGTGGCCCTGTGGGTTAATGCACTGAATTACAAAGTCAGTTTGAATTGCAAGATCGGCAGTTCAAGCTCACCAGTCACTTCTTGGAAACCCTGTACAGGGTCATTGTGGGTCAGAACCGACTTGATGTCACTTAACACCACCATATGGTTGGATTTTGGTTACATGGATGGATACAATTTTCAAAAGTTATTGAACTGAACTCTA